TTCCTTGAAGAATTTAATGAAGATTTATCCTAACAATGATGTACATGAGAGTTTGTTATTTACTTTATTTTATTTTTGCTTGAGATAGGGTTTCTCTGGGTAGCCCTAGTCTGTAGACTAGGCTGGCCTCCTGAGTGCAGAGATTAAGGTGTGCACCACCTCTGCTTGACCCTTTTTCAGTTTTTATACTTTGTTATGGTCTCCATGTTATAGCTTCCATGTGAACGGCAGAATTGGCTATACTTATGAGTTTGTGCAAACTACAGAAGGCCTACTGGTAGAGCACTTCCTGGAATGTTGAGGGACCCATGTTACTGGAGTCTGGGTCATAGCATATACCCCATTACACTTGGTCACCCATCCTCAATAAACTAATGAAAAGAGCCAAATTAATGATGAAAAGCAGAAAAGGGGATTTGTTCGATGTAACCACATTGGGAAGAGGGATAAAAATAAGTGATGCCTGCCCCCAACTAGAGTTTAAAGGGAAGGGGGACAGATATACCTAAGTAAGCAGCGACCCCAGTGCCTCAAACAGTTCCTGAGGAATTCTCAGTTTTTGGGATCAGGTTCAGTAAGAGAGAGAGAGAGAGAGAGGCACCAGTGTGTCTTTAGATTTGCCATGCAGGCTGGTCATGCTTGGGCTACATCCTCAGCAGTACATCATACAAAACCAAATGAAGCCCCAAAGACAAAGTCTAGCTTCGGACCACCCAAATTAGAGTCTCTCTCTCTCTATATATATATATATATATCTATATATATATAGAGAGAGAGAGAGAGAGAGAGACTTTTTTTTTAACAAGATTCCCTAGATGGTGAGTAGCACATCGAGTTTGAGAACTATTGTGGTCTAGGAATGGCCTCTTCCTTTAATAAACGCTTTTCTGATGCTGCTATGTTTCATTTCTTACATAATCCACTCTTATTTTGTATTTTCTTTATTAATCATATTGCAGGATCTCCTTTACATAGTGCCTGTGAGGTTCTGATTAGGTATTTTTCTGAAGTGGAAGCCTCAGTAGGGAATCTTGGAAGAAGCAGATGAGTTACAGACTTGAGTTCCTTGCAAGTGTTCCTTTTCCATAGCAGCTTTCTGTCAGGTACTTTTCTTGACATGTACACAGAGACCCAAGGACAGCCCTGTCTTCAGCAACACCTCCCTTGAGAATGAGTCTCATTGGCCTCGAACCCACCATATTTGCTAGACTGACTGGCCCTGGAGCTCCAAAAATCCTTCTGTCTTCATTTTCCAGTGCTAGAATAACTCCCCCACACTTGGCTTTTTATATATGTGAGGGGTTGAACTAGGTCTTCATACGTGTAGAAGTGAACTATCGCCAACATGTTTAAATGTTTTAATTCAAATCCCGAATATAAAGTGTAGATTTATAATTGGATAGTTATAATTTTATTGGCATTTTTGCCACTTAGAATTTGAACTTAAAAATTTGCATTTGGGTAGTTAGATATGAGATCGATCACTTGAATGAAAAAAAAAAAAAGGACGGATATGACCTGCCACTAAGTATGGTGGAGAAGAAGGTTTATTGTAGATAAAAGGGGAGCATAGCCAGAGACAGGAACATCTGGGAGAGTTCAGAGTGAATGTGACCCTGAGCCTGGCTGTGTGAGAAGGTGAAGGGGAGAGAGGAGATCCAAGAGAGTAAAGGGTAGAAGGGTTGGGGACACCAAAATGGCTGGATTCTATAGGAAAGTGCAGCTCCTGAGCTGGAGAAATTTAGGGTGGGGTTGCTGTAACCGGTAGGGAATGAGGGATCAGGGAGAGCCCGGCAGTCAGGTGGACTTTGATATGTTAAATAGGCACCTCAGCCTTTCGTCTGCAGTTTGAGACCTACATCCCAGTCTTTTTGTTGAGAATCAGTGACTACTTCCTGCTGGCGGGGAGAGTCCTTGTTGGGTTGTTGGGGACCCAGGAGAGCTGGAATAGTGGCCAAGACCTGGAAGAGCAGGGTGGTTCATTGACTATCCAGGCTCTATTGGGATTATCCAGGGTTAAGATATGTGTAGGCACATTGGAACAGTCTGTGAGACTGGACCACCTAGGGCTAGCTGCTTTGGAGCTGGCTAGGATGCAGAGGCTCAAGCTGGCTGGAAATTCTGTCAGAATGAAACACATGAGGGGCTGGAGAGATGGCATAGCGGCTAAGAAGACTGGCTGTTCTTCCAGAGGACCCAGGTTCAATTCCCAGCACCCACATGACAGCTAACAACTGTCTGTAACTTCAGTTTCTGGGGATCTGATACCTTCCCACCAATCCACATAAAATAAAGTTAAATAAATTTTTTTAAAAAAAACACATGAGACTGGTGAGCTTGGAGTAGTTTGCAGTATTTAGTTGATTGGAAATCTGGAACAGATATAGATTAGGGACAGAAGGTAGAGTTAAGGATTAGGGGAAATTTTTTAAAAATAATTTATTTTTATTTTATGAGTATTGATTGATTGATGTTTTGCATGCATGTCTGTCTGTCTGTGTGACGGTGTCAGATCCTCTGGATCTGGAGTTAAAGTTGTAAGCTGCCATGTGGGTGCTGGGAACTGAATGTGTATCTCTGGAAGAACAGCCAGTGTTCTTAACCGCTGAGGCATCTCTCCAGCCCCTAGAGGAGAATTTTTTTATACATTTGAAATTTATAGACCCATGGTTCTGGTAGTTAGAGGACTGGATTCCCAAGATCAAGGGGAAGAGAGAGAGCCCACTCAGGAATAGACAGGTGGCGGAAATTTAGGAGTACTTGAGTCTGTTTGGCCTGCAGGAGGTGGATTCAAGTTGAGTCCCCGAAACCACTACCTAGATGGTTGCCGTGGCTCCTGTGGTCTAGATGTCTTTGTTTGGGGTAGTCAGCGTCCATCATACAGGGCAGCATTTAATTTTTAGTTGCCACAGAGAGCAGCCTTGGCCAGACCCAAGTCTGAGATGTTCCTGTGGAGAAGAACTTGAGGATGACCTTACTTTGACCAGGCAGAGTAGAGAAGTCAGCCAAAAGTGTTCCTGGCATCATCAAAATAAAGCTTTAAGCCCTAAAATACAGTCCATAGGGAGACTGGAAAATTTTCTGATCCTTTTATAGTGCGCTGTTATAGAAGATCAGTTTTTTATGGTGTGCCATTATAGAAGATCAGTTTTTTGTATGCCTTAGTTTATCAAGATAGTTAAAGCATAACAAAGTGAGCATAGACGAAGAAGCTAGACAGATATTACTGTGACTCTGAGTAGCCCTTAGGAATTTATAAACCTTATCAAACAAATACACCTTATTTATCAAACATATATTGTTACTTATCTAAATTTTCTAGAAGCCTGGGATTGAACAGTTAGCAAAGCCGTAAGTAGTTAGGTGTAAATCTCTAAATCAGCTTTTGTTAATCTGAGTAGACCTTTATAACCTTAAAGTTTATAATAATCCATACCAATCCAAAATATTTTAGGCCTGTTGTTGTTTCCTTAGTCTAAAAGAGGAAGCAGAGGGCTCAATAGGACTAAAAAGTTATATAGATATTACCTTAGTTGGTTTATGTTATGTGGTCATCTTAAAATGGCAGTTAAGTCCCATACCATGTACCTTTTAAACGCAGTAAGGATGGCTGCCAGCCACATAGCTGTTATTAAAAGCTATTTTTTGAAAGATTTATTATGTATACAATGTTCTGTTTGCATGTATGCCTGCAGAACACTGTATACATAATAAGTAAAACTTTATTTCTCATTATAGATGGCTGTAAGCTACTATGTAGTTTCTGGGAATTAAACTCAGGACTTCTAGAAGAACAACACTTTTAACTGCTCAAGTTCTTTTTTTTTTTTTTTAGATCAGTTTTCCTTTTTCCTTCTTTTCTTTCTTTCACCGAGTTGAATCCAGTTGAGCAGTGATGGTGCCCTTTAATGCCAGTACCCGGGAGGCAGAGGCAGGTGAATCTCTGAGTTTGAGGATGGCCAAGGATACACAGAGACACTTTGTCTTGAAAAAACAAAAAAAAAAAGTTGAATTCAAGTTACACATACAGTATATTATGAACAAGGGTTGAATAACATATATAGTAACGTATAGCAAATTATAGCAACAAAAGATTGCCTCTGTATAGATTTTTAATTATAAGCCTTTGTTTAAAGCCAAGTTTTGTTACGGATTTATAGATAATTTTTAACTATACTCAGTGAACTTACAACTCCTGAGATAGAATTTACAGCATAGTTTTAAGAGGTGTTTTGAGAGCAGAGCAAAGAGAAATTGTAAAGATAAAAGTTTTTTAAGAGTGGGAAGCAGAAGTGTAGAGCAGAGCTAGTTTAGAAATAAGAGATTTGGGGTCAGTTGTTTGTGCTGTGGCAGTTAAAAGATTTGTGAGAATTTGGAAATCAAGTGTGTTAATTTTTGGCCATTGATCTATACTTAGGCCAAGCTGTTTATAGTCCAGGCCTGGGGGGTAGTGTGGATGTTGAAAAAGGAAACTCCCCTGGAGGGAATTTCTGTACGCTCCAAGAGGAGCTGAGAAAGTGTGTGTGGTGACCCAAATGTGCTCATGCTTAGAGAAGCTGCAGGAGGAGTAGACTTCAGGCAGGTCAGCAGTTCCTGGGGGAGGTGAGAGAAAGCAGCTGAGCTGAGGTGGATAAAGAGTCTTTGTGACAAGAATTTCCATCCAAGGCATTCTCAAGGGGAATGGAAAACTTGTCAAGTGTTCCAAATCATGCAGAGGAAAGGTGACCCTTCTCACATGACTGGGACCCAAGTAGGGCAAGGGAGCTTCCTGGCACACAGGTGTGGCTTTTGTAGTGACAGTGGAGAAGCAGGCAGCTTGGGACAACACTGATCCTGTAGAGAGATGAGAGGGCAGGGGAGAGAGACCCAGATGGGTGTCGCAGGCCAGAGCTGAGAGATGATACCCAGTGGATACCTTGGGAGGATGTAGAAGGCTCTGGGAGTCGGAGATACAGTTATGGCATAGACAAGGAGAGGGATGTGGGGGTGGGGGATAAGTAGTGAGAAGGCAGACCCTAGAACTTGGGGTCCAGTTTGATGGATGACAAGAGGGGGCGGGAACAAATGGTCTGTACAAAACTTAGGAGAGTCAGGTCAGCAGAGTTCCTTGGAAGGGATCAGTTATGCCAGTCCCAGATTTTGGTGCCAGATGAATGAAAAGAAGAAATAAGGAAGGAAGCACATGACTGCTTCCGGGTATGGCAGAGAAGATTTATTGTAGATTAAAGGGAGAGCATAGCCAGAGGCAGGGACAGCTGGGAATTCAGAGTGGATGTGACCCTGAGCCTGGCCATGTGAGGAGAGGAGAGCCAGGAAAGTAAAGGGTAGATGGGGGTTGGGGTGGGGCAGAGTAAGCAAAATGGCTGGATTATGTAGAGAGAAGTGCAGCTCAGCTCCTGGGCTGGAGAAATTTAAGGGGAACGGGGCATCCCAGCCATACCCTGTAACAGATAGGGAGTGAGGGATGCAGGGAGAACCTGGCAACCAGGTCTGCTTTGATATATTAAATAGACACCTCAGTCATTTGTCCTGGGTTTGAGATCTCACACCACTGATCTACCTTCATCATTATTGATTTATAGTAAATGTAATTTCTAAGAAGAATTTTAGGGAAATTAAGAAAGGGTGAACAGTCTTTGCATTCTACCTTTTTTTTTTTCTGTAAGTAAAGAAAGCAGGGCTTGGAGAGAAGGCTCAACAGATAGGAGCATTTGCTGCTGTTGTAGTGGGTTGTTTTTCAGCACCCACATGGTGAGTCACAACTGTCCAAATGCTAGTTCCAAGGGATCCTATGACCTCTACTGGCCTCTGCTGGTGGTGTATATATACACATTCAGGCAAAACCCTGATATACACTAACAAATGTATATGAGCTGGAGACATAGCTCGGTTGGTGGAATGCTTGCTTGGTTTTTCCAAAGGCATGGCACCAAATAAACTAGGTGTAGTGGTGAGCAGTCCGAGTAGTCACTGGAAGGTGGTGGGAGCTGAATGATCAGAAGTTCAAGATCATTTTCAGGCTCTTAAGAGTTCAGTGGCAGTCTAGGATTAATGAGTGTGTCAGATCTCAACAAACAACCCCAAAACAACAACAAAACCTAACAGTGGCTAAGTGCCCTGAAAATATTAAGGCAAAAATTAAAGGCAATAATGCGGGTTTTTTTTCCCCAATTTAGATAATAGCTACTTAAGCTTTCTACCAAAATGGGCTTGATGTACAATTTGGAAAGTGTACGTTGTAGTATTATAGTCTAGTATTAAAGTTAGGTGGAAGTTACTGAACATAATGAAGGTGGGCAAGTGGTTGGAGTCGAAGTTGGTGAAAGTGGGTAGAACTCATTGTACTGGAATACTCATTGCCAGATTTTGGTTATGTTTGAAGGTTGTCCTAAGCATGATGTAATACCAGCATAAATCTTTGAAGCTTCAGCTGACACCATCCAGGTCTGAAGTGCATAGGACTTTATGGGCCAAGGGTAATGCTTGTTTAAAAACAAGGCAAGCTACTCTAGTTTAATGAGGCCAGTTAAGAAAACTTTTCCAGAGTGGGATGAGAGTGTAATCTCAGTTTGGAGGTAGAAGTAGAGTTTTATGTGTCCTGATTGTGTTTACGATTCTTACTGCACTGGAAAGGGGCATTTGAAATAGGCTGGCACACAAGTGGCTGGGTTAGAATTGAGGAAAATAGTAATTGAGGCCTGGAAGTATTGGGTGAGTTAGGGAGAATGTTTTTCACTGCATGTGAACTTGAGAATTCACAGGACGAAGTTGACATTAGGAGTGCTTGTCTGGTTGTGCACTTCCCTTGGTCCCTGGATGTTTCCTACCCTGGAGCCTTAAGAAAGCACTGAGATCCTGACCTCCAGAAACATGTTCTACTGGACTCAAGTGCTGCCAGTGCACGGGCTTCACGTTGCAGGTGGCGCCTGCCAAAGCTGCTCAAGTGGTCTGTGGGGCGGGGCTTGGGACAAAGTCCGTCCCTTCTCTAGGCCCTGCCCAGGGGCCTGCCAGGTTTTGGAGCCTAAGCAGCAGGATGCCAGAACCTCAGGAAGACTTCTGCTAGCATTCAAGGGAGGTGTTGTCCCTCCTGGGGACAGGCCACCCGTTGAGCTACTTTAAATCTGAATGGAAGTGACCAGTCTTCTAAACTTAGGAGCCAAGGATTGGCCTTGTGGGTTGCAGGAACCTGACGCCTGTCTTCTCATGACCTGGAAGCCACCGGCACCCTTTCTGCATTCCTGGAAGGGAGTCCTGTTCACATGCTTGCCAACGGTTAGGACCAAGACCAGAAAGAGGAAAGGTACTGACTTAAAAACATCTGTTTCCAAGACAGAAATTGGACTGCACGAATCCATAGATTCTGGTTTAGGCCACGCGGCTGTGTATGGCTCTGTGAGATCCGCAGTAAGGGTTCAGTAGAACTGAAGCAACTCTGGTTTAAATCTAGCTTCATGTGCCTCACGACCTCTGCAGACTTCTTTTTGATTTTTACCTTGGGGCTGCTGTGTAGTTGAGAGTCTCTGTGGCTCAAGATGAAGCCGCTTCCCACCCTTCTAACTCGGGAATGGTGTAGCAGTTTTCTGTGTTGGAATCTTTGTTTATCATGCTGAGTAGAAATCAGTGTGCTTTCTCCAGTGTTTGGAAGGTAATAAAAGTATGTTGTAACATGAATCTGAACTTATGCTGATAAATGTTAGAGGTATTTTGCCAGATCAAAGCATTGGGCTAGTGTTTTTCTTCTGAACTTGACTGTATTGCATTTAAATATAAACTGAGCTCTTTGATATGATGGGAGCGGTTTTGTTTCGAGGAATAACTTTCCAATCACTGTGTTCCTTTAAGTGAGTACACTTGGTGGAGTTGATGGGCTTTAGTAATGCCCAGCCCATTGTTTTACAAGTGATCTAAAATGGATAAATCATCTGCAATAAAGAATTTGCTCAGATAGAAAGTAGATTACAGAACGTTCTTTTTATTGTGACACCTGGATCACAGGACTTCAGATGATGAGAGTTGATTTATGTTATATCCTTCCATACCATGAGCCTGAGATGTTGTGATGGAGTTTTGTTATACTGTGTGTGTGTGTTGGAGATGAAACCCGAGGGACATGGGTAAGCTAAACATTTGTTAGTACTTTTTTTGTCCTTTGAGCTTGAGAGTATGATGTTAGTAACAAAGGGGGAAAAAGTTAACCCTCCAGTGCTGCTCTTAGCCCCTTATTTACAGTATCTACTGTCTACTGCAATCTATAATTCCATTTGGTTACATTTTTAACCAGTTATTTTGAAACTTAAAGGTCTTTGCAGCAGAATGATTATAACTGGAGTAATTACTATATTAAGTATTTAGTGTAGTCTCAGGGAGTGCACTGTTAGGACATTGATCTTTTGTCAACTGAGATAAATTACGACCTGCCGTATTCCTCAGCGGCACAGTCTTGGGGAAAGGGACTTATTATGCTTGACTCTCACTTGCTGGTCCTTTCTCCAGCTGACCCTGAAGTCCTGTGTACAGTTGGTGTGTGCTGCAGCCATCCAAAGGAACCCATGGGTGCAGGGAGTTCTTTGCTTGCCTTTCATCCTCATCCAGTGTTTGTTTCTGTGGTGCTTTTACCCTCATTTCCTCTTTTCCTGAGTTTCCCTGACCTTTGTACATTCTGTGAGATTTGTGCTGCAGAATGGAAGTAGAATAAGGACTTTCATAAATGCTAGAGCAGTAGCTCACTTCTCCTGTTTCTCCAGCCCGGCGGTGGGCACTGATTAACAGGAGACAAATGATACCTAGCTGGAAAGAAGATCTAGAAGATAGCTGCAGGTGGATAATGGATTGACAGTGCTTCCATTCCCTGGGTCCTCCGAGCCCTGTTCCCAGAACATACTTCTCCAGAAGATGTTGCTCACTGCTGGGGAGAGTTGGTCTCGCTCTCTTAGTCTTTGGCATATGAACTACATAGGACTCAAGCTGTAGATTCTGACACCGTGAGGCTTAACTCAGACTTGAGAAGAAATAGACAGAGGTGGACTCTGAGGAGAAAAAGGCCAGCCTAAATAGGTCCTAATATTGTATTTAAGTCTTCTTCTACAAAAGATTTATTTTCATTTTATGGGTGTTTTGCCTGCATGTATGTCTGTGCACCACATGTATTCAGGGCCCTAGAGACCTCTCTTGAACCTCCATTTGGGTATCAGGATTTGAACCCTGGTCCTCTGGAAGAGCAGCCAGTGTTCTTAACTGCTGGGCCATCTCTTCAGCCTCCAGCCTTGTATTTATGTCCTTTGTTTTTGTTTTTTATTCAAAATGGTATTTCTCTGTGTAGCCCTTGGCTCTCTTGGAACTTCCACTATAGAATAGGCTGGCCTCAAGCTCAGAAATCCACCAGTTTCTACCTCCTCTACTTCCTGAATGCTGGGCTTAAAGGCATATACTATGCTGTCTTGCTATATTTACCCTTTTTTTTTTCTTTTGGAGGCAGACTTTCCCTGTGTAGCCCTGGCTGACCTGGAATTATTCTGTAGACCAGCCTGCCTCTGCCTCCCAAGAGCTAGGATTAAAGGCGTGCGCTACCACTGCCCCTGGCTGTGTTACTTATTTTATGTAGCCCACCCAAAGATTTTCAGTACTTTTTTTTTAGACAGAAAGGTATTTTAAACACACTATAGAACATTTTGGAAATATTTGGTTTACTTATATAACTTTAATAAAATTCATCTTCATCACATTAATTTTTATTTTATTTGTATATAGTTTTTAAACCATATTTATTTAACTTTAATCTTTTGCTCATGATAAATTTTGTGGGATGTTTTATAAGTATGATATGTATACATTATTCATAAATGTGTTATAGTTATAACTTTTTCTCCTGCCTCCTTTTATTTTCTTGTTTTTCATTACAGAAATGAGCCGCCAGACTGCTACAGCATTACCCACTGGCACCTCAAAGTGTCCACCATCCCAGAGGGTACCTGCCCTGACTGGCACAACTGCATCCAACAATGACTTGGCGAGTCTTTTTGAGTGTCCTGTCTGCTTTGACTATGTGTTGCCACCCATTCTTCAGTGTCAGAGTGGCCATCTTGTTTGTAGCAACTGTCGTCCTAAACTCACATGTTGTCCGACCTGCCGGGGTCCACTGGGATCCATCCGCAACTTGGCTATGGAGAAAGTGGCCAATTCAGTACTTTTCCCTTGTAAATACGCCTCTTCTGGATGTGAAATAACTCTCCCGCACACAGAAAAGGCAGAGCACGAGGAGCTCTGTGAGTTCAGGCCTTACTCCTGCCCCTGCCCTGGTGCTTCCTGTAAGTGGCAAGGCTCCTTGGATGCTGTCATGCCCCACCTGATGCATCAACACAAGTCCATTACAACCCTGCAAGGAGAAGATATAGTTTTCCTTGCTACAGACATTAACCTTCCTGGTGCTGTTGACTGGGTGATGATGCAGTCTTGTTTTGGCTTTCACTTCATGTTAGTCTTGGAGAAACAGGAAAAATACGATGGTCACCAGCAGTTCTTTGCAATTGTACAGCTGATAGGAACACGCAAGCAAGCTGAAAATTTTGCTTATCGACTTGAGCTAAATGGTCATAGGCGGCGACTGACTTGGGAAGCGACTCCTCGGTCTATTCATGAGGGAATTGCAACAGCCATTATGAATAGTGACTGCCTAGTGTTTGACACCAGCATTGCACAGCTTTTTGCAGAAAATGGCAATTTAGGCATCAATGTAACTATTTCCATGTGTTGAAACGGCAATCAAATATTTCTGGCCAGTGTTTAAAATTTGCATTTGACTTCACAGAGAATAAGGCACCCATCTGCTTGCCAACCTAAAACTCTCCTGGTAGGTAGAAGCTAGACACATGAAGGTAAATAAAAAGAAAGGCTGTTAATACAGGAAACAGTTGCATGTAGTAACACTAATATATTTAAAAATAATTCAACAGTAAACCACTGAAAAAATATATATATACCCAAGATGGGCATCTTTTGTATTAAGAAAAAAGAAAGGAAACATTGTAAAATATTTCTGAACTTCGTGTTTGTTGTAGATTGATTGTATTGTTGACAACAATTTTTGGGGGATGTGTGTCTGCACACATGAGTGCACGAGTGTGGTTGGTTTTCCTTTAACTGACAAGCCATCTGCGTGGTCATGGACCACTGCTTTCCCCTTGTGAGTCAATACATAGTGCTGCTGTGTTTTTTGTTTCGTTTTTTTTTCTTTTTGTGTGTGTGTATTTGCTAATTTTTATTCTAGTTTTTCATTAAATAAATTTGACTTTCTTTTCTGTAATTCAGGTTTTTCTCACTTTTGTACCTTTAAGTTAGTGTCTTTTTTGATATTCATAATTGCTTATGTCAAAAGTTTGTGTTCAGTACATACTTTCTTTTCCTTCAATCAGTTTATTAGAACTATTTTTAATTCAGCCCTTTTGTGAAAATAGGAATTCCAGGAAGGAAAGGTAACATAAGAGCGCTGTGCAAGCTACAGCAGGTATGAGATGGTCTTGTCTGTGAGTCCCACCTCAGGCTTACCCTTGGAAAGGTCAGGTTAGGGAGTAAACTCTGAGTTATATAAATATCTTTAAAAAATCAGGCCTTTCCTCTCTTCAAATGTGTTGGGCAAATCACATGTTTAAATTGGTTCTTGTATTTATTGGTTTTGCAAAAGAGTCATCATACACAGTATTTGTAATTAAAGGAAATCATTTGTTTTTAAAAAAAAGGCAGTTTGCAAAAAATGTTTTTGGTCTTTTATAATTCTCATTAAAAGATTATCTGGCAAATTAAAAAAATCTTAATGTGTTTACTTTAGCTCTAGGTTGGTTTGTTTTGTTTTTTTCCTGGAGCTGAGGACTGACTGCAAGGCCAGCACTTGCTAAGCAAGCACTCTCCCACTGGGCTACATCCCTAACCCCTGGCTCTAATAGAGCTCTTTAATAAAGTCCAGAGGTGGTTTCCTGTTCCAGTCTGTATTTAGAGCAGAAGATTATATGCCACTGTTTTGAAGTATGTTAGTTTTATTCTGAAGCACAGAAAGGACTAGGCTCTCCCCATCTGATTCCTATAAGGACATTTAGAGTATGACTGATTAACGCTGATCACTCTTTTCCTTTATGAAAAGTGAGTTTATCATCGTAGTTCTAGTCGTGGAGTTTGACTCCGCAGCCTGGATGCCAAGTTCCTATGTGCTAGTTTACCTCTATCCAACTTAACCAGCTGTCTGACCTCGGGCCTAGTTTCCTAATGTGTTAAATGGAGTTAAATTATGGTGAGTATGTGAAGGGTTAAATGAGACACTAGTACTTTACCCTGAAACAGTGCTTCATACAACATAAGTATCCAGCCAGTGTGGGACCCAGATTTTACCTTTAGTGTTGTGTTCCTAGTTATACTTGGGCACACAGCAGAAATCTGCCATTGATAATTTTGTATTTTCCTAGTGGTACCCCAAGCTTAGAAAGTCATTGAGAATTAATTTGCATTTCCCCCTTATCCTATATCCAATTCTGGATTATGGAGCTTGGTTCTGTTAGCCATTTTCAGTACAAGTAAGCCTTCTATTGAGTTGTCATGTGCTTATGTAGCTATATTTGGGATGAAAGGAAATAATTTAGCCACAGATTACAACCAGGTTTTTATTTGCATGAACATTTAGAAAAACAGCTTGTGTGTTTGTGTGTGTTGAGACAAGGTCTTGCTACCTTGGGTGGCCCTGAATTCTACGGCTCACCTCAGCGCCCCCCCCCCCAATACTATGATGACAGTTGAATGCCACAAAGCTTGGCTGAAAAGCAACTGAGTGTATGTTTGAGGGAATGTCATTTTGCAGTTTCATTGTATTGTGCCCAGACTTTAACATCTCAAAAGGCATGGCCATTAGAAATCCATACTCTCCTCCATGAAATCAGAGCTGACTGACATTTTATTTACTAGTTAGATGCATGAGCATGTTCTTGTACACATATATTCTGAGATTGGTTCTAGATTTTACCATTTTGATAGTGTTGGGAAGGCTGGCCATGGTTCTTGCTTGTAATCTCAGGGCTTGGAGGCCAAGGCAGACGCAAGTTTTGAGGTCAACCTGCTCTACATATTGACTCAAAAATAGAAAATAATCAACCAAACAAAATTTGGACTTTTTTTTTGGTTGTTGTTATTGGTCTTAAACCTAGTGCCTCAGCAAAACTACCACCAGCAAGCATTCAGTGGCTGAATCCCTAGAAAAAACATTTTTAGTAATTTGACCACTCATTATATCTCAGCTAATGATTTTGCTCTTTAATATGTCAAGATTTTTTATTTTGCTTTTTTACATATTAGTCTGTATGTTCTTAGTATGTTTTGGCCATTAATATTTGAAAAGTCATGATACTTTTATCGATGCTCTCTGGAGAGGTTTCAATGGGACCCAGAATTGTAAACAATTTTGTTTCTCTCCCGTTTTTTGCTAATTTTAGCAAGTGAAGGCATATTTTATGTATATTCAGCAGCAGGTAAGGTTGACACATTAACATTTATTAGTTATTAAGTCTTCATATTCTTGATTCCCACAGATGAGAAATGTAGCCCTTGAGATTTGGCACACAAAAATGAACTCTTGTCTTTACATTGTTTAGAGTAGATAATTTCTATTGATGGCTTTGACCCTTTCGATGTCTTTCAGGAACTTTTTTTTGGGGGGGGGGTAATTGAGACAGGGTTTCTCTGTAGCTTTGGAGCCTGTCCTGGAATTCACTCTGTAGGCCAGGCTGGCCTTGAACTCACAGAGGTTCACCTGTCTCTGCCTCTTGAGTGCTGGGATTAAAGGTGTGCACCACCATTCAGCATTGTTCAGGAGTTTTATGGGTAGATATACATGATCCTCCTTGACTTTGTTCTTTTGCTTTTAAAAATACATTCCTGTTTGTGTTGCCCAGAATCAAACTAAGGCCTCTCATGCTACACCTCCATCTCTTAAGCTTGAGTTTGTCATATTGAATTAAATTCTGGGCCAGTTTAGTTGTGTATCAGTGGTTGGGGGAAGTTTACTTTTGCTTTAATTTTTTTAAACAACTTGAAAACTCACATTTATGTCGTGTGAGTATAATTTAGAAAAAGTGACAGTCATTCCTCATTTTCTGTCCTCAAAGAATTCTAGAGCTCTTCAGGAACATCTACAATGATTATAAATAAAATGTAGAAGTTTATTCAGATTCCTGAGAGGAAAATCTGGTAAGTAATCCAAATTTAAAAGTAGGCTGGAGAGCACTGGCTGCTCTTCCAAAGGACTTGGATTCAATTCCTAGCATCCTTGTGGTAGCTTACAACCGTATGTAACTCCAGTTCCAGGGAATTTCATGCCTTCTGGCCTTCATGGGCACCGGGCATGCACATGGTACTCAGATATACATACAGGTAAAACACCTGTACGCATAAAAAAAATTTGAAAAAAATACTACCTTTTTTTAAAGTTACCAAAACAACAACAAAAACACAACCAACCCAACATTGGATCAAACTAAACATACTTGGGGTCAATTTGCGACCATCTCATTAGATGGGCAAAAGTGAGATCAGAATGTAACAGTGTGCAGAGTATATTAACTTACAGGTCCTGCCACTATTTGTATGCATTATCTAAAACAACAACAACAAAAGTAATTCCAAACCAGCACTTGAGAGGCTGTAGGGGGAGGATCATAACATACTACTGCATAGGCAGGTAAGCAGCATGCCTGGCCTACTCAGCAAGACCTTGTCTCAAAAGAAAGGGTGTGGATATTGTGGAAGCTTGTGGACTGAGCAGTGTTCCATGGTGAGTGTGCAAAACACGAGAGTTCTGTCTGACTTGCTAGTTAAGCTATTTATATCATTTATCAAAGACAAATTTTTCCCAGAATTAAAATCCTTTTGATAGCTTTTTTATGGAGCCAGGTCTTGTGGTGCGACTCTACAACACTGGCTGGCTTAGAGTTTGCTCAGTAAGGCCTTGGATTCTCGGCAGTTGGCAGGGATTAAAACCATGTGCAGCTCATTTTTTTGGTAAAGAATAATCTTCATTGTAAGGCACACTACGTGTTAATACATCAAGGAGTAGAGCATTACTGTTGGACCCTAACCATCAAATCGGAGACTGACTACTTGTCATACACAGTAGAGTTTCTCCTTTGCTCTGAGCAATGCGACACACGTTATTTCATTAAGCAAAACTAGTAAATAATCCCAGATTGTCAAAATTAATACTTTTGTGTAACTTATTGTCAAGCCTCTTAATAATAATATAGTTTCCTCTGTGTAAGTTTCCTAGGGGAGACACTAAGTGCTTCTGCCTTCAGCGGTGACTGCCCAACGTGAGTTAGTTTTGGTGGGGGAGATGTGTCTTGACCTGACACATCCTCCAAAATGGCTGGTGTCAAAGGCTTGACCCTGATGATGGTGTTGAAAAGTGGATCACTGGTAACTTCTTCATCAGTGGATGTTGATGGCTGAATAGAGTGTTGGGGGAGGGATGGTTGGAGGAAGTTATGTCACTGGGAAATGTATTTTGGAAGAGTGTGTCTTGTCTTTGGATCTTCCTCTCTGGCTCTTCTGCTTCCAGCTGCCATGAGGTGAACAACTTTACTCTGGCACGCCTTCCCTTTCCACCACCGTGTTCTGCTTCAACACAAGCCCACAGCGATGGGGCATCTGTGGATGGAAACCTGAAACCATGAGCCCAAAGAAGTCTTTTTCTCAGGTATTCTGTCACAGCAATGAAAAGGGACTGTCCCTTTACCCAGTATTGGAAATTAATGGTAGCCATCACTAATGACTGTGCCCAGATGGGAAATCAATGTCCTGGAGCTCAAGCAGTGATTGTCTCTGAGTTGGGAATTGGTGCTGCAAATGAGACCCAGTTGTATCCCCTCTATTATGAAGAGGGTATGTGGTATGGCCACAAGTTGGTTTGTGTTTCAGAGTTGAAGCCGTGGCCTCAACTAAGGCCACAAATTCTAAGCAAGAATACCTCTAGTCCAGAATACAAATTGTAATTGCTATAAGAGAAGAGGAAAGAAAATCATGTTTTCAGCACATACACTGACCTGGTGGTTTTTGTTTTGTTTCTTGAGACAGGGTTTCTCCATAGCTTTGGAGCCTGTCCTGACACTTTGTAGACCAGGCTGGCCTTGAACTTTGTAGACCTGTCTCTGCCTCCTGAATGCTGGGATTAAAAGCATGCACTACTATACCCTCTGGCCAACCTGGTATTTTTTTTTTTAAAGATTCTTGTATCTTTTATATCATTCATAATGTGGTATTTTACTTATAGTCACTGACTTACCAATTGGTATTAAATATTTTATGAACAACTAAAACAGAAGGCATTTGTCCCTAAATTTGCATATAGCTTTTATTATGTGACTCAGGATCTCAGTCTTATTTGTAGTACATAGAAGAGTTCAGAGGGATGATACATGGACAGAACAATTGAAACTATACTAGAAAGTTGATAACCACGGCATTACAGCCTTGTTTGCCTTTGATACCTAAAAACTATGCATGTCTCAAATGGTGCGGCCACAGTAGAGAGGAGATGGGCTGAGGTTGAGGTGTGCTCTAGCTCAGTGTTTGGGTACTTACCCAGTATGTGCAAGTCCCACTATGGTCCCCAACGCCATGTACACAGATTGATGCATGCATGGTCAGAAAGTTGTTTGTGGCTAGTAAAGGACAGTTCTGGAGGCAGAAGTTGGAGGTCAGAGTTGGTGAACTGAAGGATGGGAGCCAGGTGCCCCTACCTCCCTCCCAGATGTCGCCTCAGTGCTAACCTGGTGGAGAAGTGTGCCTGTACAAAGTAACTAGCTCGTTTCCTGAGCCCTTTCCTATGAGAATGGAACATTCACATTTTGGGAGGGCATTCTGATCAAAGCACCACCATAGAAGTTCTACTTCTGGGCACACATCCTAAAATAATAGAAAAGCAAGGGATCTGTCCATTCCTGTTCATAGTCAACAGTCACAGAGCAGTAGAGGAGATAAACAGTGCCATATGTACACTGGCTTGTTCAGACATAAAAAGCAAGTTTGGTACAAGATAGAGATAAACTTGACAAGTTGGTGAGATGTCGGACAAGAAAAGAACAAAACTTCTTCAAAACACTTGGAATAAGGAAGAGTGGTTACCAGGTCTGCAATTGGGGGAATGAGTTGTTTGTGCTGAAAAAATCGTGGACAGTAGGAACACTGAATGTCACAGATGTCCTTGAATTAAATATTTGTAAGCAGTTACAGTGGTGGATTTTATGCAGTTTTTCTGATCAAAACCTCCTGCCTAGCAAACCAAAAAACAGTGTTATAAAAACAAAAACCATACCGTTCAATCCCAGATGGCTCCTTTCAAAAGGAAAGATGGACTGGAGAAACCACTTGCCAGTTGAGAGTGCTCGCTGCTCTTGCTGAATACCAGAATTAGTTCCCAGCACCTGTAACTCCAGCTCCAGGGATCCGACTCCCTCTTCTAGCCTCTGCAGGTGCCCATGCACGCACACACACAAAGATGGACATAAGTCTGTTTTAGAAAATGCACACATACTTCAGACAGCACAGAAGCTGCCCTGTGAAATTTCCTGTGTAGGTCAATGCTGATTTCAAGGCCCCAGAGAACCCCGAGCTTTAAAAGATGGTTGTGTTACCACCTTGGGCAGGTATGAAGCAGGGCTTGGTGGGAAGGCTCCCTGGATGGACAAGGCCAGTGGACTGTTCCTTTGCTCCTTGTGCATGATTACAGAGGTCAGTAGCTCATCAAGGGTTGTGAGTGCCCCAGCTAGTCCTGTTTCGGTTTTTCCTCCGGAGATTTTTAGCAGGCCTGAGCAGGGTTTAGGTAACTTGCAGACCCCACTCTCTCATTCAGGAAGTATCAAAACTGTATTAGCTCTTCTCATATCTTGTAATGTAAGATTCTGACTCTAGAATTAAAATTGTGTTACATTGCATTCTTGTTGAATCAGCAATAATACTGTTATTTCACACATGAGCATGTATGAAACAGGGTTCAGAAACCCAGTAAGTATAAGGGGCCTTCATCCTGGTACCTCAGACTGAGTCACAGGAGCAGACAGGCATTCCAAGTTGACAAACTTGGGATTTGGCATAAACAAGGATTCCAAGTTTAGGGATCATCTTGAAGCACACAGCTGCTCCCTTGGGCCTGTAGTTGAGATTACAGGCACCCAAAGCCATTGTGTTCCTGCAATGACTGCCAACATATGCCACTGTTCTCATTGCTGCTTCCCTCAGCCTAGGACCTGTATGGTCATATTTGGGCCTCATCCTAGACTTTTAACAAGGTCTAGAGTTTTGTCTTTGCTAGTTTCCCTTCTAAGTAATTGGGTTCCAGGATCCAATAAAGTCTACACGGGTCTCCAGAGTTAAGAGTATGTGTCAAGTGTTGTTATTTTGAGATAGGGTCTCCCTATGTAGTCCTGGCTGCCTTGGAACTTGGTGTGTAGACCAAGCTGGCCTTGAATGTCAAGAGACCCACCTGCTTCTGCCTCCCGAGTACCTGTGCCACCACACTTGACTCACCCAATTATCAAACATATCAGACATGTCAGAGGGATTCCTGGATCTCTATTCCACATCCTTGAGTAGGATTCAGGTCTATAGTGGGCCTGAGGGTTGACATTTCTAGCATGTTCCTTGTTCTGCGACCACAGAGAACCTCTGTTCTGTATCTTTTCCAGGGACACCAATCCCACTGAAGACCACACTTCTAGTTTTAATTCTTTATTAAACCAATATTTCTGTAATAAACATCAACAGCTACTTGAACAGACTCATTGCTATCTTGATTATGTCCACAAATTGGGGATATTTTGCTTACTCTTACTGGTGCCTAAAACCAGCCTTGCCGGGACCTCTTGGCACCTCATAATTCCAGCTGATGTTGGGACCTAAAGTTTGCTGTCAATGAGACCAGGCCTGGTCTTGACAGTGAAGCCACCATCAAAAGCTGCATTTAGAACTTCATCCAGGCAGCTTGCTGTGACAAAACTTAGATCCTGTCTGATGTTGCTTGGGATTTCTTCAAGGTCTTTCTCATTCCTCTGTGGAATTATGATCTGCTTCAGCCCTGCTCGGTGTGCAGCGAGTACTTTGTCTTTAATTCCACCCACCTGCCAGGCGAGAGAAGACAGCCGTCAAGGGTTATGGTCTGCAAGTGGACCTGCTTCTCACTGAGCTTGGGTATTCAGCCAATTCCCATTTGGTTATGGTATGATCTGAGCTGGGATGCCAGTAAAAAAGCTAATGGTAGTCTATTTTAAAAAAATGTTTGTGTTGCTTCCATTTTTAAATATTTTAATGAGAAAATCTGAAATTATGATGGCTATCTATGGATGCCTGTGAGTGTGTGAGCGTGTGTGTGAGTGTGTGTGTGTGATTGCGATTGCAACCTTGTATTTAGGTTGATTCTGTAACAGTATTACATTAGCTTGGTTATACTATTCCTATCTGGAAGAAAGGATTTTGGAAATTTTTACCATAAAGAAATGACAAATGGAAGAAATAAATATGTTGCTGTAAATGATACATAATGTGTACATGTACATCATTTGTTACACAGTTCTGTTTTTATAAAATAAAAATTTTAAAGTTAAATGAACTGCTCAGTTGTGTTACAAGATTATTGTCTTCATTACCACAAAGCAAAGGCCTTTGTGCCATCTAAAAATGAGAACACTCCAAACTAGCTCTGGTTGTTTTTTGTTGCTTCGTGACAAAAATCCCTGTTGATTACCCTGGTCTTAACTCACAGAGATCTGTCTGCCTCTGTTCCCAGCTCCCAAGTGCTGGGATTAAAGGCATGTGCCACCAGGGCTGGCCCCTCTTGTGATTTAAAAACAAACAAAAAGCTATTCCTACAATGAATGGTTCCTTCACAAGAGATGGAGTCTGATCCCCCTTCCCTCTGATGGAAGTGATGCTATGTGAATTTCAGTGCTGAGGCATAAAAAGAAAGCTGCTGCCCGGATTGATAGGTTGGATCTCTTGCCCTAGAAGTAGCAAGGTATCATGTTTGAGGTTATCTACACAGACTGGGAAAACCCACAGGTGAGGGCTTGGGCCTCCTATGCATCATACAGAAAGAAGCAGGTTCTCCTGCTCCCTAAATTCTCCGAGCTTCAGCCTAACTGGCTAGCTTTAGGCTGTCCTACACAGCTGTCACCCTGGCCCAGACTGCGCTTTTCTGGAGTGCCTTCAGGGAAAATTCTGAGACAGACTGAGTCCTTCCACTTGCACTGGATTGAGAGCAAGAACAAGACACTGTATGTAACACTGTTGCACTGTGTATCCAGTGGTTCTCAGTGGCTGAGGACTCTTTCCATTCCAGGATATACTCTGCTATTTCTTTTACTCTTTGTTGTAGTCCATCTTCCTGTTTGCTGGAACTCTTGCCGGATGCTGGATATGTCAGACTGACTATACTGTATATTATTTCCCTAGTCATTCTCTAACGACACTCCATCCAAAAAATTTCTTTTTATTTTATTTATTATTTATTTATTTTTGGTTTTTCAAGACAGGGTTTCTCTGTAGTTTTGGAGCCTATCCTGGAACTAACTCTGTAAACCAGGCTGGCCTCAAACTCACAGAGATCCTCCTGCCTCTGCCTCCCAAGTGCAAAAGACTCCTTTTTATTTCAGCCTTAGTAAGTTGTTGCTTTGTTTCTTTGTGTTTTTTTTTTTTAATTCTACCACTTTTCTTCATGGTCCTTGCATGGTTGAGTGAAAATAAGGAGTAAAATTGGGGGCTAAGCAAGTCCTCTGCTATTGGGCCCTATCTCTGGCTCTTTTTCACTCTGAGGTAGGGTCTCACTAAGTTGCCTATGCTGCTTCAGTCTTCCTGAGTTGCTGGGGTTTTAGGTGTGCCTGACCCCTTAAATGATCTTAACTGGCAATCCTATAATCTACTTTCATTCATATTTTGCAGAGTAAAGAACATTAGCTCTT